TTACTGTGAAGAAGCTTCATTTGCTAAGTCAGTTCTGTCATGTAGCCTCACTGAAGGCTGAGCACAGAACACATGAACTGAGTGAAGAAGTTTATAGACAGGAACAGTCATAACTAGAAAGGAAGTACTGTCAGAGCAGTCTTGGTGAAGAAGGATCCGAGTTCCTTCATATATACCTCAAGTTGCAGAACTTTCCAGTTGGAGCTCAGAAACAGGTGATTTTCTTACAGTATAGTTAACTCTGATGCATGGAAGGCATCGATACTGAGATTTTGAGAGAGTGCTTTATTCAAGTTTAAAGGCAAGCTGATTTCACTAAAACTTGCATAAGCTGATAGGTCAGCACATCTCTGCCTAAACTCCTGTCAACTTATCAGAAGCATAAGGAAGTAAGTTTTCCAAGGGTATAATTAAATAGGCAGGCTTTAGGTATTGAACACTGAGGAAAAAGAAAATCTTCCAAGTGTCTGTCTCGGAGGTGTTTCAGCTTTTGCATTCCACGGTGCTTTCTTAGCTACCACACAGTCCTTGAGCAGTCCCTCACCCCCTGCTCCCCAAGAAATGACTTCACCTTTGAGGGTTTCAGCTACACCAAAGCAGCACTACAATTCATATCCAATACAGAACAACGCCAGGACAGTTTATAACAGCAACATCTGAGATCATACCAGGAAAGATCTGTATGCTAAAGCCTCATTATCATACCGCAGGATCAATCCAGCCTAAATAAATACACTCCTGAAACCTTTGCACATTCCACGTTTAGATACTACGTACCTCTTCAGTGCCTGCAGATTCACCTCGATCCAAGTTTGCATCCCACAATGGACTCCTTTTGCCAGACGATCATCCCTGCCTCAGCCTGCTGGGCACCTACCTACTATGTACAGCACAGCCTCACCATTAATGCTGAACAGGCTGATACAACAGAAGAAAGAGCAGTTTCAGACTTACATAAGCATCCTGCCAAACCTACACAGACTTCAGCCAACCATAAGCATCACCAAGTACTAATCCTATGTTTTACTAGACACACCTGGAGGAGAAAGATAATCACTCACATTAGAAGAACAGGGACATTCTGAACACACCACACCTAAATAGTAAAACCAGTCAGAAACAAGATTAAACATATCTGGCTGACGGAGACATCATAAAGCAGCATGTACCTTACTAGATAAAGGCTGACAGAGCCAAGAACATGAATGCTTTCCACAAACCCCAGGACCCTGGCGATATTTAACAAGTTCAAGGTATTAACAGAGCAACTGCTGCAGGAGCAAACATCCTCCGATTTGGACAATTCCTCTATCCAAAACCATCCAACCTAAACAAGTGAAGATTGACATTGTTGACAGGCACCTGGCTGAGTAGCGCTTAAAATTCCTGCCTGCAACTGCTGGCCAACATATCCAGCTAGGGACAAAGTGAACGGAAACAACATCACTATTCTGTTTCACTGGCTAGTTTGTCAGCTTGACTCATCATTTGCTGCATACTTTATCTAGTCTTCTCTTTCCTCCTTTCTGTTAGCCATTCTGTTACTAATGGAGCTATTGGCAAAATAGGACTACACGCAAGATCTCATGACAGGCACAAGAATTTAAGTTTCCACCCCTTACTTCCAGGACCTCCCTGAAATCAGGGAAGTCCTCCTCACCTTTAGTGGCATGCAGCTTCCAAGTGAGGCAGTCTCATAATACAGTTTTAGATAAGTAGACATGGATGCGTTGTATGTTGGATCTTGCAACTCTTTAGTTTCCATTACACATTCTTAACTCAGTGGATTTCCTTGGAAGACTGTGGACTTACAAAGCAGAAGTCAAGTACTGCTGACAGAATTTCTCACCTCTCAGAAGCCCAGAGAAAGAGGGAGTTCTTCATGCACTGACAGCATTAGAGGTAGATAAGGGAAAGAAAAACCTTGATGCTGTTAAGACTATAGCCCTGATTATTGACGAGCTACAACATGTTACAATAAGTTTTCAACAGAGCAGAGCTTCCCTCCCCAGCATACTGCCACCTGAAATCCTAAAGAGCATGACAGAGCTCTTTGTTCAAAAACCAGGAAATGTAAGGTCAGAAATGGGACTGGGAATTTACATGTCTCCACCCCCATGTTTCTTAGGCCCAGAATTAAAAGAGAAAAAGGAGGCTGAAACAGAGCTGCTTTCAGGCACGCCTCAGAAGACCTTCCAGGCACAAGGACAGCCACATGATCAACTGGAAAAGTCCAAGACATGAGATGAAACAACTCAAGTGATTTTGTCCTTTGCTGTTTAGAAATAAACAGCAGTGAAGCCAAATGCCAAAGCCCTGACTAACAAGCTTATCTCTACATCAGGTCCTTTCTGCATGAAAAAAATAAATCCCTCCTGTGGGACAAAATGTCTAATGAGACAGAGAAGCAAACATGTGAAGTTTAAAGGGTCATTTATCATTTAGACTAGCACATAGAGTAGTGGAAACAGCAGCCGCCAGAACTTACACTCTTCACTTAGTGGAACAGCCACAGTGAACTCAATGCTGACAGCAATGCAAGTTGGTTTTCATGCAACCATCCAACAGCTGTATGCAACACTCAGCCCCACCCAAGCCACAAGACACATCAGGATAAAGTGAACCAACTGGGTCACAACATCTTTACTGAAGCTCATGAAAAAGAACAATCCACTTAAAGTGCTACCCATAGTGTATCATCTTTACAGCTACCCCTTAGTTGACTCTTCCTATCAGATGCAAGACTAACATTCTTTTCTTAAGAGTTTAGTGCAACAGCTCCTGTTCGCCATCACACAAGCAAGCCTGTCCTAACAAGTACAGGGAAGAACATCTGCACTATCAAAACAATCCATGATGGAGGCCTGGCTTGGCCTGCTACATTTTCTGACTTCTGACAGCATTTTGCCCCAGCTGCACAGAACTGAAGACAGTCCAAAGTTATGAGCATCACTGACACTTGGAGCAGGGACTGTATGTCGGTGTCATACAGCTATGTAAATCTAAGTGCTATCAGATGACTTGCAACAGTGATGCAAACCAGAGAAAAATGTCTGTGTCAGCTTATAAATTATGAATGTACATGGTCACAGACTTCCTATCCAAAATTAATTTTCTTTGCCGTAAAAAAAGATGCTTCAAGAACAGGGCATTGGAGCTTGTCTTGGAAAAGCACAACCACCTTATGCCAACAGGACACTATGAAACACTCCCTTGTACTAAGGCAAGTGATTGAATTAACTCTGTTAGTAACTACTTAAGACAAACAGTCAGGAACAGTGTTAACTTTAACAACCAGAACAGCTTCAAGCACCTCATCAGCTGCAGGAGAAGGCTCTTCAGCATTTGATTCCAGCATTGAGAAGAGTCATACAAGAAAAGGCAACCATGTTCAGCTAAAGACAGAAATGGTGGACAGAGCAGAGCTTTGACATATCTAACAACAGATTAAGAAATCAAGACACTAGATTCAAAGTGAGCAAAAACTTTTAAGGATAATCTTAATTGATTGTTGACAGACTGTCACAACATGCACAAATCCATGGGTGTTGCCACAGCTGCTTTCAAGCTCAAACAGATGAGCCAGTTAAGATGAAAGAAGATGCAGATGAGAGCAAAGCAAGATAAGTAAGACATCAGCTATCAGCACAATAATGTTTAGTCTCAGTCAGAGGAAAGAAGATGAATAAGTACATATTCACCTATTCACCATACCCTATAAGCTTTGCCTTCAGGACCCTGAGCTCCAAAACAGTGACTATGACTTGCAGCTCAGAACATTTTCTGACTGCGCTACTCGATTAATAAGGAAAGGCCATCTAACCTTTGATCACCAAGATCTGATAAAACCAAGACTCTAAAGGAGAACCTGTTAACTAGTCCAGTACACAGCTTTATTGTGCACAAAGGTACACTGTAGCTAGAGAAGCAGGTTGCAAGTTTGTCACAGAAGAGCTTTGTGTCTTGCCAAGGTAATTTTATAGCAAATGTTAACAATGCTTAGTACACAAGAAGGAAGCACTACTATTTCAGCAGGGAGGTCATGACTGAATAGTTTTTAGTTTCAAATGCAGTTTCATAGCAGCAGGAGGGGCACATATAATCCAGCTATATGAACTGGATTTCAAATTGCAATACAAAATACATGCACCGCATCAACAGTTTAAGGAAAAAGCTGCTTGGAAGCATTCAAGATATGCTCTTCAAAGCATGTAGACTGTTAAACACCCATACAGTATTAGTGTGCATATCCTAAACTGAGGCTATTTTTGAAAACACTTGAAAAAATGCACAAAGGAGGCTCACCACACTGCAGCTGAATATGTTAATTTTTAACAATTACCATAACAATATCTATCCATCCCCCCCCTCATTAAGGGGCCCCACACAAAACTACTAAACCCTGCTCCTCTATGCTCCATCAGCACTCACCTGACATTGCACCTCTATTTTCCTACACACCAGTTAGGCTCAATCTAACACCAGAAGTGAGTTTCACTTCCTTTTACGTACTCTACTAAACAAAATCCTCCTTTAGAATGTGGAAGAATTACATGAAGGCCTCTAAATAAGCCTGCTCCAATCACACAGCAATAACACAATAAGTTATACATTTGACCTCCACTGCTTATTTAAAAGAAGTATCAGAGAACCCCAAACCACAGACCATCTTTCTGAATACCTGCAGCATTTACTAGAATGTAATCAACTCTAAGCGTTCAGTAAGTCATCACTGGAAGGCTTCAGGCACTCTACATTTCAAACATGGAAACATTAGCTTAACACATGGCTTCTGGCATACTTTAAGTAAATATTCATGCACATTGACCTACATTAATAGAATGAAGGTTTCCAAATACCATGAGAGGATCAGTACGAAAAATAAATCGGTGAACTGCCAGAACATCAGGCAAGTCTTACGGATACTTGTATTCTGGAAGCAACGCATAGCACATCTTGCTGCTCAGAACACGGCCAATCTGGACAGCGCTACTCATCCTGAAGATAAGCACAGAATTCTGCAATACTTTTCATCACTATCCTAGTGAAAAACCAAGGAAGCAGGGAGTTTCTTGCAACTAGTTTCTGTCATTGCCTAATTGACACCCACGTGGGTGACTAGCCAGTGTACTCCTGAGTTCACTGAAAAACTGCCTAGGAGATGGCTATACAGCAACACAAACATCACCCCACAGGAAAAGGAAGAGCACCTACCAAAGTGAACAGTTCTCGCTACTGCTCAGCTGCATTCCTTTTAGGCAGCAGTCACCAAACCATTTACTGGACAGCCTTCAAATATTTACTGTTTAGTGCAATGAGAAGTTAGGGTTTATCTAGCCAGCAGTTAGATGTATGGGGGAATATATAACAGTTATATTCTACTTTGAACAATGCTCTGTTCCTTTACTCTTTTTTGATCTTCAAGCTGACTAAGTGCCCACAGAATTTAATTAGCATACCACCACTCTCCCCATATCACCCTCTGATCAACCACCTTTCCTCCTTGCTCCTTATCAGTTCTCATCACTGCCCTGTGCTTTGCAACTGTGTTTAAGTAGTATCCTGGTCATTTTTTTGGCTTTACTTTACCACTCAAGAGCTGGCCTGTAGCCCTTACCCTGCAGCTGGGTTCTGCTATCTGCACTTCAGTTCTCTGTGCTGGAAGTGGATGATGTTCCTGCGTGCTAGATCCTGAGCAGGTGCTGAAGCGTTGCATTCCCCACACGCCATGGGAACAGCTTCCCTGAAATGAAACAGAGATTATCAGCAAAGAAGAGGGGATCAAGTTCACAGAGGGACCACGTTATGTAAAAGCTTGGTAAAGGATATCTAAGAAGCAAGGAGCAACTCAGAGGGACACTGGGAACCAGAAAGAGACACCCTGATACCTAGAAAGATGGTAAGAGCTCTAAGAGCTAAGTAAAACGCTTAGGAGGAAGGAATCTCCAACATCTGTTATTCCAACAGAAGTTACCAAAAAGCAGGCGTTGCAGACCCAGCCAAAGGAGATGCTGAATATTACTATTCTAACTAAGCCTAAACTGGTAGAGACAGATTAACCTCCTGGAAGAAAGAGCAAAAATTTTTAGATGGGGAAAAAGGAATAAAGGCTTTACTACCTACTTTCTAGTCTGAAAAGTTTGAATTTTTTTAAGTGTTACCATCAGGTGTATCTGAAAACGTAGATCATCTTCCTAACCACTCTGGATTCAAGCAACCGCCCCCTTTCCTCTCAACAGATATCTACCAACATGAATCTTTTTAAAGTGGCAGCAGTTTAGCACCATCAGTAAGAATTACAACAGCTTTTTCTTCTTGCTTCCTGCATGTCAGCATGGGGCATGGGAAAACAGACAAGGGAGCAGACCTAGGCTTTGCGAGATCTCTCAAGCATCCAGCCTCCTAGCTATGTAGGAGAGGACTGCAGAACTTCAGAAAGCATTTCATTAACAACAGGGGAAAATGAAAAGGAAAAGACATCGCTGGGGGAAAAAAAAAACAAAACAACCCATACTGGTGAAGATGTTCAAGAATACGTTCCTCCTGATCCCAACATTACCATTAGGGCTGACAGGTTTTGAAGCAAGCCCCTCGTAATCAAAGCTACTACATTTCAGCTGTGACAGACTACTGCAAAGGAAACGTTTAAAGGAGAGGACTCTCTGACCTCCTCCCCCCGCCTCCTCCCAGGCGACGGCCTCAGCACCAGAGCACCGGGGTACCAGCTCCACGCTCCCGCACACGCCGAACGCGCCTCAGCCCCATCCGCCCACAAGCCTGCCTGCCGCACCACCTCAGGCTTCCAGGAACAGAAAAGACATCCTCTATAAGATATAAATAAAAAAACACCCAACCAGCTTCAGTCCCCGGCACCGCTGCCAGGTAACAAAGACGGGACTTCTCACCCTTGCCGGAG